GGTTATAAATTAAGAATGTGAGCTACCTTTTCAGCATGTTCTGTTAGCCGCCATTGGCTTGAGACATCTGTGACTGGTGTTTTGGCCTGAGTACATATGGGTTCCTCAGTAGATTAACCATCTTTCTAGCAGTTTGCAGCTTCTTAAGGTCCATTGACTTATCTCCTTAAGAACCCGCTTTTAGGAAAACATCACCATCCTAGAAGTTAATCAAAAAAGAGAAAAGTTAAGAGGTATTAGAGAGTACCTCCATTGTTTCTAACATGTGGAAAGGAAAATGGTTGGCATGAGGCAATGACAAGTACCATTTCGTTCACAAGTTTTGCTTTGAATTATGGTGCCTTGTCGAGTTCCACTTCAATAACAACTTGCTGTTCAACAAACACAAAAACAAAAACAAAAAGAGATTGGTTAATGGAGATACATAAACTTGAAACAGAAGAAAATAAAGAAGAGTATAGAGGAATTTGAGATGACTTACTGCATATATCTCCATCGATTGGGTCCATAATTCAACAGCATCCCTTGTAATAATAATGAGAAGAAAGTGAATCATGTATACAACAAAACAAAAAATTCTCCATCATCAAGATCATGTATACAAAACAATATTCAAAAGAATTCAGATGAGATTGAAGAAACACACTGTAAACCCCCAAAACTTTACCTTTTTCATTGTGGAGTTTCTCGTCAAGTCCGATGAGAGTTGAAGAAGAAACGCCATGTCCTCTGAACATCCATCACTGAGAGACACGAAAACAATACTTCCAACATATAATATTCATCAACAATGCCTGGATCCTGAGAGTAGAGAAGGAAATGTGAGGGTGATAAGTTATATAACACACAAAAGAAAAAGAAAAGAGAGTATTATTGGTTAAGTGATCCAACTTTAAATAGACATAAATAAAATCATAATAAGTGCTTACTTACAGAGGATTTGTCCCATTGTTGTTGTTGTTGTTGTTGTTGTTGTTGACTTGGGCCGGTCAATCCTATAATTATACATGTGAAGAAGTGAACTATATGTATATCTGCATCATCTAAAGAAGCAACAAAGAAAACAATGAAAAAATATCAAATTGACGTTGTTACCTTAGGGTGAAGTTTGTTTTTGTTTGGTTATGAATCTTCTTCATTCTTCAAAACATAACATATCTTCGATCTGCACAAAAATATAATATTAGATAAGCTTTGTTAAAACAACAGTGTAAACGAAAACAAATTTGAGGAAGCAAACAAGATGTTGTTACTGTAAGAACACGTCAGCGACCTTTTTGTGTTCTGAATCTACTTGGTACTTCCTTGAAAAAATCTGAGTCATCGTCCTAGTTGGAACACGAACACAAACACACACACACACACACACACACACCTGTTTCGTTTCATCCAAGAAAGAAACAACAAAGGCATTAATTAAGATCCCATGTACAAAACAAATTCTTATTTCAAAGGCAAAACATCAACACCACCTTTTGTTCTGAATCTTCTTCATTCTTCAAACCATATCATATCTGCACAAAAATATACAATTAGAAGTCTAAATTAAAATAACAGAGTCACATTCCCATCTAAAATTGAAAACAAAGAAAACCGCAAATTTGAGGAAACGAACAAGAGAAGAGGAGGTGCAGAGTCAAGACAAAGACCTATATATACCTTTTAATCGATCAGTTTGATGTTGTTACTTACTGTAAGAACACGCCGTAATTGTTCTGAATCTAATCCATCATCTTTCAAAACATTAATCTGAGTAACACGAACACACACCTGTTTCACCCAAAAGAAAAAACAAACAAACAAACCCATTAAGAAGCAAGTTCGACTCTTTTCTGGAAGTAGACAAGAAAAGAAAGACCTAAATTACCTTCTCATCGATAAGTTTGATATTGTTACTTAGTGTAAGAAAGCCGACTAATGTTTTTGTTCTGAATCACCTTCGTACTTATAAACATCAGAGTCATCGTCCTAGTTTGAACACGAACACGCACCTGTTTCGATTCACCCAAAGAGACAACAAACCCGTTAATTAAGATGGCACATACAAATACTAAAATTTTATTTCATAAGCAAAATCGATTCATAGGGTTAGAAAGATATATCTGACTCGTTTTTGCTCTCTCGTCGCCATTAGAATCGAAAGTTATCTTGTCGCCATGAAACCTGTGAGAAAGAAACTCTTTATTTCAAAAGCAAAAACATTCACACGAAATCAAATCGATTCATAGGGTAAGAAGAAGAACACGAGAAGACACCTCAGCGCGTTCATCTATGTTTTCCCTCTCGTCGCCATTAGAATCGAACGCTCTCTCTCTCTCGGCTCTGTCTCTCACTCTCTGAGGAGAATGTGTTTTAATTTTGATTTCTCGAAGATGAATAAAGTGAGAGTAATCTGTCTCTATTTATAAACAGAGAGGTGTCGACCAAAATAAAACAATGGAAATTTTCCTTTTTCTAAAATTTTTATATGAAAAGGAAAAAAGTAAATTGTTAAGTTTGAAAAAAAAAAGAAATTTCTTAAGTTTAGTAATTAATGTTATAAAGAAAAATGGAAATTGTTAAATTTGGTTTTACTACGAAAAAAGGAAATTCTAACGTTTAGTGTTATAAGAAAAAAGAAAATATGTCATTACCAAAAAAAAAAAAAAAGGAAATATGTCGCACAAGAAAAATGAAATTACTTAATCAAAACGTACAGTTTAGATTAGTGGGCTTTTTGTTATTTGTTAAGACATGGGCTTTCCTTTTCTAATATGCTAAATAATTATGTGTTTTTATCAAAAAAACACAAATTATCTTTCTTTATGCTAGAAAATCAATGATTGATGGATCATCAAGCAGTTCCATCAGACTCCGAGCAAGTGGAGGTAAATGCAATTTGAATCAGATTTGTTGCATTACTAGAAAAGATATCACCATCATCTGCAAACTCCAAATCTCCCTTCGTGATTTACCATCACAAGAAGATTGAGCTTAGCTTCCACAAGGGACTCGAAATTAACACAATTGTATACCTATCAAGGATCAGGTCTATCAAAACCTGACAGTTCACGGCCAATAGTAAGTCTTCAAAGACTTTTGACTACACATAATGCCAGACCTTTTCCAATTTTCCCACTACATACCATTAATGGTTAGTTCCTTAAGCACAGGGCAAGCTGAAAGAAACGTCTTGAACGCAATACAGAACTGAACAGAGTTAAAAATGAGAGTCTCAAGCGCTGGTAGCAAAGCATTCTGACTCAGCTTATTGAGTGTCTTGCAAGTGAAGATCTCCAAAGGCAATGTACATCCATTATCACCATATATACCCATTTGATTTCTTTAGAATTCTAAAAAAAAAATACAATTATGAAGAAGAAGAATGTCAAAAATTTGGAAGGCCTATTTTAAAATGAAATTTTATTTTATTATATGTGACAGTAATTTTTTCTGTGTAACTCTCTTTGTTTGATGAGAATCAGTCAAATGATCAATGATAATTAATGACACTTCAAAAAATCAGCTTTTCTTAAACTAGTAAAAGATAATATATTTCTATTTCACAAATAATGTCATTTTGACATGTTTTACACAAATTAAGAAAACACTTACTAGTCTTACTTATAAATATATTCTTCTTATTTGATAAGTGTTTAATAATCTATTTTGGAAATTTAGTGTAAAAAATATTAAAAATATAATATGACATTTTTGTTAAAAAATATATAAAATTTAGAATGATACTCTATGTGAAACAAAATGAGTAATATACACATATAAAAGTATGTTTTGTGTGGAAAAAGGCTACAATGAAATTATAACTTTAGCTATTCCCAATATCTTTTTCTATATTAGTAGTAAACAAAATGAGAATATTCTCAATTCAATATAGGTGGCTAATTCAACTTTCACAAAAGATGCCCATTATTCGTAGAAAAGAAAATTTTGTACATGATAATATGAAAAACTGACCACTAAATCTATCTATCTATAGTAATGAAACCAAAGAAAATAATTAGCAAAAGAAAAATTAAACTAAACGTTTGCAAAGCTAAACGACGATCAAATCGAGACAACAGAATCCTGCAGAAGAAAGAAACCATCATCAAAACCAATGTTGGGTTGGGTTAAGTTCTGACCACACCATTGGGTTAGTAATTACCGTTTTAAGTATTAAATTAAACAATACCATTACCACTACTACCTATTTGTATATTGAAGTACCAAACTTCGAATGTATCGTGCACCAACCCAAATAGGACTAGAGGACCAGATCAGCATTAACTAACCTTATACTTTGGTAATGCAAAATTTTCTAAAATTTGTCAATTCCCAACTCAGTCTTCCCATCGTACATTATCAGATAAACGTTAATGAAAAATACAAAATACTCTTCAAAAATAAAATATTGGTTTTGTTTCTATTGAATCTATCATTATGGTCTCACGATCAAATCACGATTCATTGGTTCTGCTTTTATTTTAGCTAGGAACTATTAAATTGTACCAACTACCAAACTATAAATGAAATAATTTGGATACAAAATGTAAACAAAAATAATACATTTTTGGAGTTTAGACACTGAGATTTTTCAGATTCTTGTCTGTGGTTAAACCTCGGAACCAGAGAGAGATGGTATGGTCTTATTCACTCACTTTTTATTAATAAACTCATCTCTCTCTGTCCGAGAGCCTCTCTCTTCTCCTTTTCTCTCTCTCTCTCTTTGAAGCTATCATCTTTGAGAGCTCCTTTGGTCCATACTTTAGAAAAAAAACCGTCATGAGATTGCTTCTTGGTCTCTTGTTTCTCTTGTCTCTAGCAACCTCTTCAAGTAAGCTTTCTCTTTTCTTTTCCTTTGTCACCAATCACAATGATCTGAAATGGGTTTCTCAAAAAGACCTCTTCTTTAATGATTCTCTGTTCTTGAGGTTTCAAAACTAAAACAACCAACACTTCATCTGTTTTGTAGGTGCAACTTATTGTCTATGCAAAGATGGAGTTGGAGAGAAAGACCTTCAAACATCAATAGACTATGCATGTGGAGTTTTAAAAGATTGTAATCCAATTCATGACAAAGGTCCTTGTTACCAACCAAACACTGTCAAGAGCCATTGTGATTGGGCTGTTAATACTTACTTCCAAAGATCCGGTCAAATCCCTGGAAGCTGTAACTTCTCTGGAACTGCTACTACCAGCTCAAATCCTCCTTCAAGTAATAATAATCACTCATCTTCCAAAAAGTACTCAAAATTTCTTGGCTTTCTCAAGTAACAAAAGATTGTATTTTGATCATCTCCTCTGTTTTTGCAGCTGTTGTTACTGGTTGCATCTATCCTTCAAGTCCTGGGTATGTTTGTTTACTAATAACTTCTATTAAACTCTTAAAATTGGGAAATGAAACTTTGATTCTTTATTCTTTATTTAATAATCAAGAAGACTCAGCACCAACCGAACATTTTTCGAGATTTGGTAAAGAGATAGTTTGGTTAAACTTTTCTTTTCCCATAACGTGACTTAAAAGTTTAGTTACATGTTTTTTTTGTCTTAACACAGAAGTGCAGGGACAACTCCAACGATCGGGACTTCTTCAGGAACACAGACGTTTCCGGGAACTCCTGTGTTTGGTCCGGCCGGATCTTTTGATCCTTCAGGCAGCAACAATGGTGCTTCGGGTTTGTTCATTTCGAATTCAATCGCTCTCATACTTGGTTTCTCCGTCATTGCGTTTCTATAAAAAGAGGGCAGTGATTAAGAAAGCGAGGCTAACGTTTTTTGATGTACGGATGAGATTCTGCCACTTGTGAATGCAAGTTCTTTGAGGCAGACATCTTATTTAGGGGGTTGGCTTTTGTTGTTTAGGCTTACTTTTTTTTTAATTGTATGTAAGAAATGCTTTAATCGAATCTTTCTTCAAGTGTTTTACATGAAAGAGAACATACCAACATAAATAGAATGCAAACGATATTCATAGGAACTAGGAAGTGGTAAAGAGCTATAAGAGATGTTGTGGTGAGGCAACATCTTAGTGGGTATGTCCGGGCCGAACCACGGCCCTCATGGACATGTCTATACACTAATACACATATCTACGGATCAAAACTTTATTTCTGAATAGGTTGTTTTGAATTTGTGTTTGCCCATAGAAAACTAGTATTACCAAGAAAATGGCTTAATTAAACCCACCGCAACATAACTATATATGAGTAAGAGATGCAATATGCATGTCCACCAACTTGTTGGTAGCGTTAAAGCTATGATTCTAAATTCACAGGAACCAGATAATATTAAGCCAAAAAGTATAAAAGTGAATGGTAAAAGAATATTCTTTTCAGAAAAGACTAATGTTTTCTAATTTGTAATTTGGAATGAAGTTGAAACGATGAGATTATGGATTCGGATGGGTAAACAGTAAACTAATTGGAAATGTGATTATGGGTTCGCATGGTTAAGGCGATTGTAGTGGACAAATGTAATTATGGTGTCAGAATTTCAGATGGTTAAAGGCATTTTTAATGCAAGGAAAAATAACCTAAGATCCTTGCATTAAAGATGGTTTACGGCGATTAGATCAGATAAATGCGTATTGGACTACTTTTTATATTCTCCGTAGATTTTATCATTTTATTAAGGGAAAAAAGCTTTAAAATACCTCATTTAATTTTAATTTGGACATTTAATACCTGATCTTTTTTGGTTAGAAAATAAATGCTCATATTAATAAAAACGTGTAATTTAAAACTTAATAAATTAAATATTGTCATTTTCATACTTACGATTTCAAAACAAAAAAAATTATTCCAATTTTACCCTTATTTTGTCTATTAGTTATTAGTGCATATATGACATAAAATTAATGTCATTAGTTATTAGTTATTTTAATTTTATTTGAATAAAATTTATGTGTTAGTAAAATTTCTTATATTTTTACTTTGTATATTTAATTCAAATAAATATTTTAATTTTATTCAAAAGTTTTAAAAGATCCAATGAAAAATATATTTTGAGTTATATGCTTTATATCCAAAAGATATATTTTAAAATTATATATTTCATATCCAAAAATAAACATATCCCTTTCATTTTTTATCCAAACATTTTAAGAGATCCAATAAAAGATATATTTTGAATTATATGTTTCATATCCAAAAAGAAACCAATATATATATCTAAAAAAATTTAAGACAACCAATGAAAAATATATTTTGAATTATATATTTCATATCCAAAAATACATTTCATTTTTATCCAAATTTTTTTAAGGATATCCAATGAAATATATATATTTTGAATTAGATATTTCATATCCAAAAATGAAAAATGAAAAATAAAATATATATTTTAAATTAAAGATATAAAGTAATGATACAATGAAATAGTAAAAAAAATTGAATTGAAATTAAAATATATATTTTGAATTAAACATATAAAATAAAAATATAATGAAATTTTACTAACACATCATTTTTATTCAAATAAAATGAAAATTAGTGTTATGTCATTTATGCATTAATAATTAATAAAAATGAATAAGGGTAAAATTGGAATATATTTTTTGTTTTGAAATCGTAAGTATGAGAATGACAATATTTAATTTATTGGGTATTAAATTACTCGTTTTTATTAATATGAGTATTATTTTTCCAACCAAGAAAGATCAGGTATTAAACTTCCAAATTAAAATTAAATGAGGTATTTTTAAGGTTTTTTCCCATTTTAGTAATAATAGTAAGTTGTAGTGTAGACTGAAAATAATAAAAAAAAATCACCATAAAATATAGTATGTGGCAAATTATTATTCGTCCTAATTATTTAGTTTGTTAACGAATTAATCCATTTTGTTTGTAGCATTTATATAATGATTTTATTGATAAAATATAATTACAAAAAATTAAATTTTTGTCCCGTGCAATGTACAATATATTAATCATAATTTACTTATATAGTTATATGTAGTTTAAAAATTTGCATTGATTCAATAGTAAGTTTAAGCCTAACTAGTAAGTTTGTATGATATTATTTAATATCTGAAAATTTCCCAAATATAAAGAAAGTTTAATGAATTATATAAATTTTTGGAGATTTACCCCAAACATCTAAAAAGACCCATCCATTGACTCTCCTCCATCCAACGGTTATATATAAATTACTCACACGGAGTTACGGTCTTTCTTTCCACACCTTATAAAAACCCTATTGGTAAAAAAAACTTCATCTTGAATAAACCCTTCTCCCCGTTTACAAAAAAAAAAAAAAGAATAAACCCTTCTCCCAAGTTTTCCAATTTCCACTGAACAAAAAAAACTTTCCCGGTTAAGCAAAATTCGCCATGGATGCTCAGCAACGGAGAACTGAAATCCCTCGCGCACCACCGGCCGGAGAGCCTGGTGGAGATGTATCTTCGATTTTATTAGCGTTTGGTGTTTTCGCTGCAATCGCCGCTTTGGTATCTTCTCCTCTTTACTCGTTTGATCTGTGTTTAGATTCGATCATGTTTATACATACACGCATCCCAAACTGAATCGGCTCTCTTAAATGTTTCGTCTTTCGATTCTGAGTCAACCCTTTTCGAAATGTGTAAGCTTTGTATCAGAAGTTGACTTAAAGTTGATGACTTTGTCTTCTTCTCGAGTCTCGACCTAGATTATATCTTGTTTCGTTTTTGATTTTAGATTAGTGTAGTGTAAGGTCACAAAAGTACACTTTTTTAAAACCTATTCGAGTGATACAGAAGTTTAAAAAAGCTAGCTTTAGGTTTCATTGATCTTACTTTGGGTCGCTTACGAATTTGACTGTGGACTGTGGACTTATTCATGTTTTTGTTAATGAGTTTGCTTATATACTGGATGATCAGGTTATGTTCCCTTCATCGTTGGTTCATCAAGTTCCTGAAGGTCACGTTGGAGCGTATTGGAGAGGTGGTGCTCTTCTAAACATAATCACAGAGCCAGGTATTTACGATTACTTTTATCCCTTTTCGTGATTTCATTGATGTTTCATTCTTTTGTTAGTTGGAATTAACTTTTTGTGCTTCAGGTTTCCATCTGAAGTTGCCTTTCATAACCAACTACGAGCCTGTTCAAGTTACTCTACAAACAGATCAAGTGAGTCTTATACCATAAAAAGCTTGGATATGTTTACATTGTAACTTTTGAACCAATTGATTCTCTGGTTCTTAGGTGAAGGATATACCATGTGGTACCAAGGGAGGTGTTATGATTACCTTTGAGAAGATAGAAGTAAGTGTCTTAAGATTTGTCTTTCTGATAGCATCACAATTGCTTAAAATTTTGTTGATCTTATTTAACATAATAACATGTATTGATCTTTAGGTTGTTAATCGACTGCGTAAGGATTTTGTCTTTGACACTTTGCTCAACTATGGTGTGAACTATGATAACACATGGATATATGACAAGATTCATCATGAGATCAACCAGTTTTGCAGCTCTCATTCACTGCAGCAAGTCTACATTGATATCTTTGACCAGGTACTTGACTATATTGGAAAGCCATAACCTATCTCAAATTAGATAACTTTGATATTAACAGTGTCCGATATCTGGAAAAGTTACAATGATTTTTGCTTATTCATCTTATCACAATGTGTTTCAGATTGATGAACGAATGAAAGATGCTCTACAAGCTGATTGTACACGTTATGCTCCAGGAATTGAGATTATTAGTGTCCGTGTCACAAAGCCAAAAATCCCAGAGAGTGTAAGGCGAAACTTTGAGCAAATGGAAGAGGAACGCACTAAGGTATACTCTTTTTGAACCTTAACAATTAAATCTGCACTGGTTTTCTCATATCTTTAATTCTGTTATAATGGCTTCTAAACTCTTTAATATTGCTTACACACTTGGAATTATCGATTGTTAAGGTCTTGATTGCTATTGAGAAACAAAGAGTTGCGGAGAAAGAGGCAGAGACAAAGAAAATAATGGCCATTAGTGAAGCTGAGAAGAATGCCAACGTAAGCAAGATTCTGATGCAACAAAAGTTGACTGAGAAAGACAGTTCAAGGAGAGAAGCAGATATCGAGAATCAGATGTACCTTGACCGTCAAAAGAGTCTTGCAGATGCAGATTACTACCGGTAATAGCTTGTCTTTTTCCCCATATATTTTCCTTTCTAAACAAGCAAACAAAGAACACAAAAAAAAAAATAGTTGGGTCTAATGTTTCCATTTTTGCTTTGATCAATGTCCCTAGTGTACTAAGAGAAGCTGAAGCAAACAAGTTGAAGCTCACCCCTGAATTTCTCGAACTCAAATTCATCGATGCCATTGCTCGTAACACCAAAATGTTCTTCGGGGACAAGGTTTTACTCTACTCCCTCCCATTTCTGAATTCGTATATCTCATTTATCTCTGTTTCTGTTGTTCTGAAGAAATGTATCTTAACTGTGCAGGTACCTAACATGGTGTTGGATCAAAGGCTGCTTGGGAACTTCCTCAATCATTCGACAAAAGACAAAGATGGAAACTTGGAAATGGCCACTGATACATAGAACAAATGTTTCAGTGCATCCCTAAAAACAAAACTTTCTTATTATTATTGCGTAACTTAGCTTCTCTTGTGGCTATCATTTTGATTGCAACTCAGTCTCCTAATAACCATGTTTTTTTTTGTCTAAACAGGAGTCTCATTAAGACTAAGCTAACGTGTAATATTGTAGCCATTTATCAGATTCAGAGCTCCACAAAATACTAAAAATGATGATACGTGACTATGGTTGATGTTAGTGATGAAGTTGGGTGTTTTGGGTTTTGATATTGTAATTTAATTATTTACTTTAATTAATACATTAGGGTTAGGTGTTTTGGTTTTAACGTTTAGGTTAATTATAAGTTGTATCATGGCCTATATAAATATAGGTCTTTATGCTAATGAGAAACCAAGCCCCAAGAATTAACCTTAATCTCTAAGAAAGACTAGGGTTAAGAGGGAGCTAAGCTTTTAGAATCTCTCTTATTCCTTAAGCAAAAGTTGGTTCATAACAAATGACTACGAGATTCTCTGTGAAAATGAGATTCTAAGTCCAAACATATCTGAACCCTTTTGTTCTTATTAGGCTGAAATTGCCAACGTGTCTTGAAATCCATTATTGACTATCTTTTGATATACACATGTAACTTTTTCCACACAAGCATCCCAACACACATGCAAGAACAGAGATGAAGTGCAGAGTACACCAAAGGCCTCCAAAGCGGTGGGGTTAACCGGGTAAAAGGCAAAGTCCATAAATATTACAAAAAGGAAAGTGTTATTGTTTTGAAGAAAAGAAGAAGAAGAAGAAGATGTATGTAGTTGAGAGCAAAGGAGCAGCTATAGGATGTATGATAGTGTCGTTGTGTTGTTTGGGAAGTTGGCCAGCGATTTTGACTCTGTTGGAGAGAAGAGGTCGTCTTCCTCAACACACTTTTCTTGATTTCACAACCGCTAATCTCTTGGCTGCAATCGTGATCGCGTTTTCGCTCGGTGAGATTGGAAAAAGCACGTTTCAAACACCTGACTTCACCACTCAGCTCCCTCAGGTTTGGTTCCTTCTACTTCTTAAGAATCTTGTTATAAAGTTTATATGTATTTGATTGGTAATATGAGGACTTTACATTACAGGATAACTGGCCGTCAGTATTGCTTGCAGTCGCAGGCGGTGTGCTTCTTAGCGTCGGGAATTTAGCGACTCAATACGCTTTTGCGTTTGTCGGTTTATCTGTTACTGAAGTTATAACCGCAAGCATCACCGTCGTCATTGGTATGCTTCCTCTTTCACTAATCTTTGATGAATCAATCAATTATGTTTCTTGGGTCTCACGGTGGTTTTTATAGGTACGACGTTGAATTATTTCTTGGACGACAAGATAAACAAAGCTGAGATCCTTTTTCCCGGAGTAGGTTGCTTCTTGATCGCTGTTTTCCTCGGTGCTGCGGTTCACGCTTCGAATGCAGCAGATGTCAAAGCGAAACTCAAGTCTTTCCCTAGCGAGTATAAAGCTAGGACACAGTACGGTGTTTGCTCTTTCTTTTTCTATTGTTCTATATTTTAAATACTTGTTCTGTTTTAACAAGACTCTGATCTTTTTCAGAGACTTTTATTCTTCCATTAAAAATGGTGAAGACAACCCTGAAAAAGGTAAAAAACCTATGTAAATTTTTGTGAGATTGAAGAATTTTTAGAAGATATATGCAAAGCAATCTAAGTAAGAACTCTTGGTGGAATAATATGATCAAAATTGTGATGTTTCATTGTTTGTTCATACCATGAACAGAGAAAACTGATGTCGAATCTCAAGAGAAACAAGCGGGAAAGGCGAAAGCAGGGACGGCAGGATTCTTTGTAGAGCTAGAGAACAAAAGGGCAATCAAGGTTCTATTACAATGACCAAAGAGAAAAAAAAACACCCGATATCCGAACTCAAAGTTCGAAACTTATTTTGCAAAGATTACATAGCGAAGGAGAGTATGTTACTAGGCGGTGTTTAAAATGTGGTCATTGGCAGGTGTTTGGAAAGAGCATAATGATCGGACTATTCATAACGCTCTTTGCGGGAATCTGCCTTTCTCTGTTCTCTCCTGCATTCAATTTGGCAACAAACGATCAGTGGAGTACATTGCCAAAAGGCGTACCTAAGCTCGTTGTCTACACCGCCTTTTTCTACTTCTCAATCGCGGGTTTTCTCATCGCTCTGATTCTAAACCTCATTTTTCTTTACCGGCCAGTGGTAGGCTTAGCGAGATCATCTCTTAAAAAGTATGTAAATGACTCTAAAGGTAGAGGTTGGGCTATTTTCGCTGGATTCTTGTGTGGTTTTGGTAACGGTTTGCAGTTCATGGGAGGTCAAGCCGCTGGATACGCGGCTGCAGACTCTGTCCAGGTTAGTCTTTCATTCTTCAAATTAATTGGTCTCTTGAGTTTACATTTTGGTTTTGAGTATATGAGCTTTGTTTTTTTGGTTTAGGCACTGCCTCTTGTGAGCACATTTTGGGGTATAGTTTTGTTTGGAGAGTATCGAAAATCGTCGAAGAGAACCTATGCGCTTTTGGTTAGCATGTTGGTCATGTTTGTTGCGGCAGTGGCAATTCTGATGGCATCTTCCGGTCACCGGAAATGATGAGCTTTTTGTTAGTTCTGTTACACACTTGAGCATATGTGTACTAAGTATAACAATAATGCAACGTCTTCTTTACTTTTATGAATTTTCAGATGAAAGAGGGAAAGGTTAGGTACTTGTCGTTATACAAGATTAATTGTAGTATTATCCTAAACTAAATTTTAGAAAAGTCAAAAGTTTCCACAAAAATGTGATTTTTATATAGTTATATATTTGATTCTTTTATAAAGTTTCACAATAAATTTCTACAGAACTGAGTCAAAGCTCAGTATCCTTATGTCCTCTGCACAAAAGGTCTAAACACTTCTTGTGGTGGAAACTCTCTTCTTGAACTTATTTGCACAAGGGACATCATCCTCTGTTCTTGCCGAACCTAGCAAAGGAAGTGTCTTTTCCATATTCCCATTTTGGATGATTTAGTTCTACTTTTCTTGTGATGAAAAGATTATGAACATATATAGATATCTTTTGAGACAGAGGATCCGTTTTTTTTTTATGTCACTAAAATTCTTGATTTGCACTTAAAATCAAGAACTGAAAAACAGAGGATTAAGATTCCATCAACATGACAAAACAATCAAGAATTTTGTCTAGTTTTAGTTTCCTAAATCCTTGGAACAGTGATTAATGCCTGATGTAAATTCTTAATCTGGTTTTGAGGATTGGATGATTTTGAAACTCTCCAAGCATCTTACTATTACTTACACTAATAAGCTTGATCTTTTGCCTATTTGTCTGCAGGGCTTATCCATTTTGATCGGTCTTTTTGGCTATTAAATATGTATCTAGTGGAGAGCAAAGCAGGTGCCATAACATGTATGGTGTTAGCCTTACTATCTCTAGGGACTTGGCCAGCAATTCTAACACTTTTAGAGAGACGTGGTCGTCTTCCTCAACACACTTATCTTGATTACTCCATCACTAATTTGTTGGCTGCTATTATCATAGCTTTCACTTTTGGTCAAATCGGGTCTACAAAACCTGATAGCCCGAATTTCATCACTCAGCTTGCTCAAGTATATATACATAAATCATTTTGATATACATACAAAGAGAGGGTTGTGTTTAGTTGTTGAAAAGTAACCAATTATTTGTAGGATAACTGGCCATCTGTTATGTTTGCGATGGCGGGTGGGATCGTGCTTAGCCTCGGGAATCTAGCAACTCAATATGCTTGGGCTTTAGTTGGCCTATCAGTTACAGAAGTCACTACTTCAAGCATCGCCGTAGTCATAGGTTAGATCATGGAGTCATATATACTCATACATTTGGTATAATAGTACTTTCTTTTATCAGTCTTGTTTTCCAACTTTCAGGCTCAACTTTGAACTACTTCTTGGATGATAGGATCAATAAAGCCGAAATCCTTTTCCCTGGTGTGGCCTGTTTCTTGATCGCTGTTTTTCTTGGTTCAGCAGTTCATAGATCCAATGCAAGTGATAACAAGGCCAAGCTAAGAGACTTTGAAATGACTAATCAAGAGTAATCAAGATTCAGCCTCTCACTTTATTTCCCCTAAACAATATGTTTTGTTACTAATATAACAATCTTGTCTCTCCAGACCTTCAGGTCTATCTACTGATATAGAGACAACAAACTCATCAAAAGACCTGGAGACTAATGTTACTAAAACAACATCGGAGAAACCTAAAGAAGGGACAGCAAGGTTTCTTATGGAACTTGAGAACAAAAGAGCCATAAAGGTAGAATCTTTATAGTGTAGTGCTTTTTTCGATTTCGGGAAAACTGTTAAATTTGTTGTACTAAAAATGGCAGGTGTTCGTAGACAAAAAAAAAAAAATGGCAGGTGTTCGGGAAACGCAAGATAATCGGGCTAGCGATTACTTTCTTCGCAGGTCTTTGTTTCTCCCTCTTCTCGCCAGCATTTAACTTAGCCACAAATGATCAATGGCACAGACTGAAACAAGGAGTTCCAAAGCTAGTCGTTTACACCGCATTCTTCTACTTCTCTGTTTCTTGCTTTATCATTGCTATGATCCTAAACATTGGGTTCCTATATTACCCTGTTCTTGGTCTTCCAAAATCTTCTTTTAAAGCTTACTTAAGTGACTGGAATGGCCGTTATTGGGCCTTCTTGGCGGGTTTTCTTTGCGGTTTTGGAAACGGTCTTCAGTTTATGGGCGGTCAAGCCGCTGGCTATGCGGCTGCTGATTCCGTTCAGGTTCAAGAAACCACAATTGTTTTCGATCCAAAATAAATATTTTGAGCAAACTTAAGAATCAATATGGTTTTTACTATTTTTGTGTGTCAGGCGCTTCCTCTTGTGAGTACATTTTGGGGAGTGGTATTGTTTGGAGAATACAGAAGATCGTCGCCAAAAACTTATCTACTTCTCTTCGGTATGTTGTTTATGTTTATTTCAGCTGTTGCAGTTCTCATGGCTTCTTCTGGACATAGAAAGTAAAAATTCATATAGCTACAAAAATATGAGTACACTAGTTTGTCTATTTTCAGTATATGTATATAGTTTAGATAGTTGTTTCACTTGTTTGTCACCTTTATAAGGAGATAGACACTTTATGATTTGGGTGTTATTTTTATAAAATAGTATCATATTTTGTTCTAAAATAATTGGTTATCAACAAAAAAAAATAAGACAAGAATGGTCTGTAATAATCACCATTGGAGATGTATGCTAAGAGAGGGTTATACTTTGTAACTAAAATATTTAGTTATTTTTTCCTACACAAATTGATAGAAACTTTAGTCAAATTTATTTAATTAGTTTACGAGGGGTGTATTGAAAGTAGAATTCTGGAGTATTCTGATTTTTTTTTAAAATCCCCTGTTATTCAACTAAGGATTTTAAAATCATTTTTCAAATCCACTGTTATTGAATATGACATTTGTAAAAAGTCCTTCAAAATCACTCACAATCCCTGTTATTCAATCAACAATTTGTAAAAACCATATTAAATCCACTGTTATTCAAAACATAACTTTTATTTTTTGAGAAACCCATAAAAAATGATTTTAGGGGACTTTGGTACATTTTTACAATAGAAATCCAATTAAAAGAGTCACACCTAGAAGGGTGTGATTTTGAAGGATTGGTTTAAACAAAACAATTAACATAAAAAAAAAAAAGGCATCCGTTTTTCAACTCTAGTTCCATAGTGGAATTCTGGGTTCCATCTTTGAGTTATTTCATCTTCGCTTTGAGCTCCATCTTTGAATTCAACCTTCTCCGCACCTAAACGATACACTCCACCTAACCAAAGGTTACGTCTCTCTTTCTCTTTCTCCTTCTCCTCCTTTGTTTTCGATTGATTTCTCAGATTCATTCTCTGCCTTGTAGGAACCATTCTTCAAACCGGAGGAGATCACGAGGTTCGTACTTCGCATTCTCACTCTCTCTTCTTTGCTTCTATTGATAAAACTAGAATAGGGAATCTAGAGAGTCACTGGTTCACTTGGTTTTATGTGAAAACTGGAATAGCTAACAAATGTTATACTCTCGATAACAGTCTTGAAATGTTCGTAATTTGTTTCTCATTCACCAAAGCAATTGTTATGCTTATGGGTTTTGTGTGATGGAAGGGTATGAAACAGTGATGTTCCGATCTAAGTTTGATTCATGGCCAGCTTCAAGTACCATAGCTGAGTCCTAGCAAGGCAGAGGCAAAGTCGCAGGTTTAGTTTATATCTTTCATTTATGAGACTTGCTCTGTTTTTCTTTTCCCAGCTCTTTTGCAACGACAAGGAGTTAACGTTCAAGGCCTGGTTAAGACTTCTTCTTCTTCTAAAGATGAACCAAAGCCATACATTGACGGAACTGGAAGCACATGGCCAAATTCAGAGCTAAACAAGCAGCCAAAGATGTTGTGGATCACCTGCAACTTCAACGTTTGCAAATCTGATCTGAGGTGTGTGCTTGTGACTCTTGATTTTTATGAAAACTACGTTTATCAACTGTGTTCAATGTTCATCATATATCCCCATTTCTTGTCTTATGTTTAGCACAGTTCAGTTTGAAATGGGGTGGTCAGCGTGTAGCAACTATGCTAATGTATTTAACCGATGACGTTGAAGGAGGAGAAACTTATTTTCCTTGGGACGTCGAGTTGTAACCCCATGGAAAGTTTTGTTTCTTGCTTCAGCCCCATCAAAGTTTAAAGTCGATATGTAGCTACACAAACGAAACTTTATTGATGTTTAACCCCCTCAAACTTATTTTTGGAGTTATAACTACTTTTCTGTTAATCATAAACGTTTGCCGTCTAATCTAGTACTAAACCAAATTGAAATCTTAGTTAACCAAAAGTCCAACCAAACACATAATTTAGATCCAACTCTAACCATATTTCTTCATTAACCTAACATTATTTTGTTTGGATGGAATTGGAGTTTCTTGTCCAAAATTCAATGGAAGAAGCTTCTGTGTTTGTACGTTTAAATTTGTGTTTGAGAAATTCAAAAGAAAGATTCAAGAGCAATATTAAATGTCTTACAACAATCGAATTTAAAACCTCAACTTGCACTCATCCACAACATCTAATAGAAATCAGAAAAAAATGCAGAAAAAAACAGCAGAGATTCATTTTCTTCTTCTACGCATCATCCACTTGCGAAACGGGTTGTGTATATTGACTGGAAGAAGCTTTATCATGACCCTAAAACAATATTCAAGAAGCATTAACACATTAGCATAACTACCAACAATAATTGAAACCAAACATTAGTATCAACAGAAACTTACTCGTTTGGCTCTTTTAGCACAAGAACGAGAATTGTGACCAGCTTGCCCACAATTCTTGCAGTGCATTGTCCGCTTAGTTACCGTCTTCGATGGAGAAATGGAAACTTCTTTTTTCTTTGTCTGTTTCTTCTTCTTCTTCTTCTTGGATGGGGACTCATTAATGCCTTTTTTTCTTTTTTGCTTCTTACTCTTCTTCTTCCTTCCAGGTTGTGGCGGTTCAGGAGGTTCACTCACCAGTGAGATATCACCTCGTGCCCAGTGACTTGAACCTCTTAGTGGTTTCATGTTGTCAGCGTATAACTCTCTCCAGCGGGATGTTAGAAACCAGTCAGAAACGTAATCATCTGAATTCAGTTTTTTCTTCAGTATAACTCCATAAGCATGCTGACAAGGGATCCCACAAATATCCCACTTACAACAAGTGCATATCCTGCTTCTCATGTCTACCCTCTCTGAGTGACCATCAATTTCAACCTCATAGACCCAAGTAGTGCAGGAAAATACAAAAGCCTTTGCAGCATCCTCATGTTCTTCATCAAGAAACTTCTGGACATATGGTGTGAATTTACTTGAGTGAGCATTTGCAATGGTATATCTTGTAGAATTTCGCACCATTGTTAGTCTTCTAATTGTCTCCAACATTGGCATCATTGGTTTTTCTCTTGCTTTAACAATGGTATTGTTATATGATTCAGAAGAGTTGTTTTCTACGTCCTCACAACAATTTCCTTCATTCTTGTAGAAAGCACGACACCAACTCTTTGGGTTTGATTTCATCACATCACCGTAGACACCCAAATCATAGTCTTTAACCCTTTCCAGATTTTTTTCAAATTGCTCTTCATTATAGCTCCATGCCAAATTCCAAATCAATGGTTTCATCTCCATCTTTTTTCCATGTCCTGCTTTTAAGTTACCATAAATATGTTGAACACATTTTCTATGCTCAATATTTGGTAATTCTTTTGCAACTGCCTTGATTAATCCCTGAAATAAACAAACATAGTGAGTCTTTTGACATATAAGAAGCAAAACATGGACATCACATTACACTAATCCAATTAAAACAGCATACCTTTTGCCGATCTGAGACTAAGATACACCCATCGCCATTTTTAAGATCTAAATCAGTCTTGAGCAAGTTGACAAACCACAACCAATTCTTCTCATTCTCTACTTGTACAACAGCCCAAGCTATTGGATAAATTTTGTTACATGCATCTCGACCAATAGCAACTAATAGTTGACCTTTCATCACACCTCTAAGAAAAGTACCATCTACTCCTATAATGGGACGACATGTTGCTTTCCATTGTCTTTTAAGGATATTGAAACACACATAAAATCGATCGAATAGATCTATACCATCTGGCCCCAAAACAGTTTCAACTTCCACAGTAGATTCCGGGTTTGAAGTAACGATCTCTTTGCAGTAGCCTCTGATATGTGCAAATTGATCTTCATGTTCTTTCTTAATCCACCGTAGTGCTTTTTTTCTAGCTTCTTGACATTGATTCCTTGTAGCAGTGATCTTCCACTGATCTTTAATCATCTCCTGAATCTTCATAGGCATCATTAACTCTGGATCTTGTCGTATCTTGTCCAAAAATAATCGTGCAATCACTGGATCAGTCAACATCAAACATTCACCATTTCGAGAGCAAGCATGCTGATTTTTATAAACTGTAACCTCCCACCTGTTTCTTTTTCGACTTAGTGAGCAATATATTCTCCAATTACAACCAGCCATAGCACATTTGTATCCAAGTCTCATTTGATCCCACCTATATTGTCTTATGTTGCGGCCTGATTTCAGAGCATAGTCCAACACCGCTTCTTTAAACGCAACACCACTATAAAATACTTGTTGATAATGTAAATTCCCATCTCCTCTTCGTCTAATTTGATGTCTTCTATTTGCAGGAACCACTTCAACATCTTCAGAATCGCTGTCACTACCTGGATATTCATTGTGTCTCATCGGAAGCTCGTCCCTAAACTGTGCCACATAGTCTTCAATTTCTAACTCAAACCTTTCCATCAACTCTTCATCGCCTTCAGCATCGGATTCACTTTCACTAGATTCACTTTCATCTTCAACAAGGCTCTCAAAATCTGGGTCACTTGAATCACTCTCATCTTCCAACACTTCCTGAATTTGCTCTCTCCAAGAGGCATGTTCTTCGTCACTTAAATCAACCAAAATAATAGAAAATTCAGAATAAGGTTCATGATTGAAATAAAAATATAGTTTGGGTCTTAAATCAATACAAATAAGGTTCGAATATCATACCTCATTGCAATCTCTGGATCGATTTCTCCTTCCTCGTGCTTCTGAATTTTTTTCAGTTTAAGGAAGCGGCAGTTTTTTTTTGTTTTCTTTCTCAAAACCCTTTTCACGTTCAATTTATAAAGCTTCGTTATGGATTAGAATGTTGGGTTAATATAGTAATGTGGTTAGAGTTGGATCTAAATTATGTGTTTGGTTGGACTTTTGGTTAACTAAGATTTCAATTTGGTTTAGTACTAGATTAGACGGCAAACGTTTATGATTAACAGAAAAGTAGTTATAACTCCAAAAATAAGTTTGAGGGGGTTAAACATCAATAAAGTTTCGTTTGTGTAGCTACATATCGACTTTAAACTTTGATGGGGCTGAAGCAAGAAACAAAACTTTCCATGGGGTTACAACTCGACGTCCCATTTTCCTTTGGTATAGTTCTTCTTCTTGTGGATCTCTTTAGCTCTGCAAATGTTTTATTTTGTTTCTTCTCTCTGTTTATGCAAATTAAACCTAGGGAAATGGAAACTTTGGTTGTACAAAATTCTTACGAAACATCTGCTGCATGCATATTATGTATAGTGCTTTCTCTCTGCAAATTGTTATTTTGTTTCTTCTTACTGTACACGAGAATGCAGGCTAGTGATGGTGAATTTATGTATAGACTTTTTTTTAACATGTGAAAATCTCTTAAAATCCCCCAAAATTCTTTTTAAAATCTCACCAAATATCATCAAATCTCAATCTATTTTTTATTTAAAAAAATATGAAATAAAAACAAATACACCAAAATACCATAAAAACTCATTTAAATCTCCTAAAATCTCAAATATTATAAATTCCACAAAGTCCTTACAAATCTTTATTTGAATACACCCCTCTACATAATTAGATAATGACTATGAATATGACACTATAGAAACTTCCGTATCAATCTTAAGAGAGGCTGCCACACTCATATACATTTATCCATGATATATTGACTTGTAATCTAGTTATTAAAATGATATAAAAAAAAATTAAAAAAAACATTTATCCATGATTTTTACCCATATTATAGCTTTTTTCTTTTATTTTTGAATTTAAAATTTAATAGATTTAATTAACATAAAAATTATTTTTAGATTTATTTTCATACTTTATCTTTTGGTATAATAAAAATTCATTTTAATGATATAAATCTAGTGACTCACATAGTCACATGTCACATCCAAATATCCAATCTAAAATTAAAATGTTTTAGTTAATTAAAAAGCATATATACATTCATTTAATGTTTCTTATAACTATTATATTCTGTTAGAATAATTATTTTAAGGTCTCTATATGTTTTACTAGCAATTGACCCGCGCTGCGCGCGGGAGGTTTATAATTTTGTTTCGTTGATTTGTTATTCATATTGTGATATTTTATTATTTTTTAATTGATTTTCAAAAAAATATTATAATTGTTTTCTCTTTAAGTATTATCTTTCAATACTCAAATTTGGATTAAAAGCATTTGATTCAATTTATAAAATATCATTTTTTTTCTTTTTGATCATGTTATAAACTAATATTTCACTTTCATTTTATTTTTCCACTTTATAATTTTATATATACAATTACATAAATGTTGTTTTAGTCTATCATAAATTTAAATTTTACTTCTTTTCTAAAACTCAGTAAAATATTAAAAATATTAAATTATGATCAATTTAAAATGAAAGTTGAATTATATTATTACCACTAATAAAAAATTTAAGTATTGTTTTTCTTATTTTAATATTTCATTTTTTACATAATTTATTTTATTTATATAAACTTTTTATTAATTAAATAAGTAACATAAATATACACTAAATGAATATTTTAAATTTATTTTAATGTTTAAACAAAAATGTGGCTTAGGTGGCATCATGAGAAGAGAGAAAAAGCTAACTTTATATATATAGATTCTTTTCCCATTTCCACCTATTGTAATTATTAGTGTAATATCTTTATCAATTTATTAGTATAACTAGGGCTAATTAGTTAAAACATTATGCTATTCCAATTTATCTATCTCTATATATAATTTTATTGTGATTTTATATCATAAACCTTGTCCTTAAGAAAAAAGTATAATGCAACCGGAGAAGCTTCCGCAAGACCTAGAGGAAGAGATACTCTCTCTCATCCCCCCCAAAACCTATCGGTCGATTTAGATCCGTTTGCAAACGATGGAACGCTCTTTTGAACGACAAAAAATTCATAAAGAAACATATGGCTCGTGCCCGTCCACACTTTGTCTTGTTTTCTGAATCCAAATTTTGTTCGGTAGAAGTTATAAATCTTGACGCTCCATGTATAAAAGTGCATAACATACCCTCCGATATTCCCGGTTATAAACATGGAAACGTCATGACAACCGAATACTGCGACGGGTTATTAGTTTATGTCACGGGAGCGGGGTACGGGATTTGCAACCCATGGTTGAAACATATTAGATGGATCAAACCGAAACTATTCACTTGTCGGTACAATGGAATGGGATACGACTATAGTAGACCTGATAATCATTACAAGATATATGGTTCTTATAGTAATTATCCCATCATGAAAGGTAATTTCACCGAGTTGGGATCCAATGCATGGAAATTGTTCGAGGTTGTACATGATACGTGGGGTTTGACTTCGTCAAGGTGTAGTGTATCTCTGAATGGGACTTTGTATTGGGTTGGTTTTAGTAATAAAACTCGTAAGTATTTTATCCAAAGCTTTGATTTTTCGATAGAGAGTCTCAAACCTTATTGTACCATACCTGGTAAAAATTATCTACGCGATGTTATAACTCTTGCGGTATTTAAGGGAGATCGGTTTTCGATTTTAGAGCAAGATTGTAAGACAAGGAATATGGAGATTTGGGTGACAAAAAAGAAGATTAAAAACGGGGATGGGGAGGGCGTGGAGTGGATGAAGTTCATGAATGTGACAGTTCCTACATGGTCAAGTTTAGTAGTGTATGATTATACGCCAAGTTATTACATCGACGAGAAAAGTCACAGTCTAGTGTTTTGTAGCGTTAATGCGAAGGATAACACTTGCATCTATATTGCAAAGGGAGATAAGTTCCATGAAATTGAGATAAAGGACTTGGTTGGGTATAAAACTCGTCATCACACATATTTTCCATGTTTGGTCCCAGTTCCTAACGATGATGTTAACCAACATGTCGGCTCCTACTTTGCACTCCCAAAGGGAAGAGAAGCCAACGATGGAGCCGGAGAACACGAGTGGGACGATGGCTTCTTCGACAGTGTGAAGAAAATAAGTGTAGGAAGAAGTCATTTGGGCCTAGTATTCGTCAGATTTGAGTACTCCAACGACAACGTTGTTGTAGCCGGAGCCGCTCATGGAGATGATTCCTCCTACACTCAAGACGACGATGTTAGCATTTTTAGTTTATTTAATTTATTATTATTTTTTAAAGTTGAAATTTGGACCTAGACCATATTAAGTCTCTCTTTGGCACTAGACCGAAGTGAGCAAAGACACAATGAAACCTAACTCGATCCAAATGCTAACCACTAGACTACTACATATCTTTGTTATTATTTATTATTTGTCTTCTTTTTGTATAGCTTATGATCGATGAAGACAACTACATTGAAGCCGTGGAGGGGACCTATACAGAGAGCCATATTACCTCCCTCAAGTTCTGTTTGCACAAGTGCAATACATCGCGCCAGTATGGAAGACAAAATGGAACGCTCTTCGTTCTCGGAGGAGGAGAAAGCTCGAAGATCATCGGTTTTTACGGAAGGAACTCTGATGTCCATGACCTCACCGCTCTCGGTGTACACCTTTCGGTTTTTACATCTCCAAGCCTGCGTCAAGATTTTACGAAAGAAGCTTTTAGTTAATGCATACAAATTAATTATGAACCGTTTTTTCTTTTCTTAAGAAAGTTTCTATTATAATTTATATCCGATAATAATTATTTTGGCGTTTTACAAAATTAGTATCATTTTTAGTATATGTAGATTCTGCAGTTGATATATATATATTTTAAAATTTCTATTTGATTAAATGAGGTTTATTTATTTATGAATGATATGGATGATTAATTAACTTACTTTAATCTTTGTGTCCGTACAGTGTATCGTACTTGATTAAATTTGGTTTTATTTTTGTCTGCTTTTAATTTTCTCATTTTCATGTATATTTAACTTAGTTTTTTGCGTTTACTTTGCATTTTTTTTTTAATTACTTTTTTTTTCTTTTCCAAATCTTCAGTTGATTAGACTAAGAGATTGCATCTATGAGTGCACCAGTTCAAGATATTAATTAGTGAAAGAATCGAGACCATGACTTAACATATTTTGTGTGTAAAACTTATAACAATTCCATAACCACGAATCACGCGATGAAGTAAAATTAGCATGTGACCTGCAAGAAGCTATAATAATAAATCTCAATAAATTTGATATGTAATACTAATATTGGTTTTATACTAATTTCACTGTATGAACTTAATATTGGTTTTATATTATAAATTCTAATTTCAGTATTGCGAGATAATTGATGTGTCTAGGACTCAACATAGTACAAGTTTTCACAAAACGGATTTTAGCTTAACTTGCAAAAGTGTGTCCTCGTATAGGATAACTTGTACTATTTTGTTTTTTTTTTTGTTTTTTGTTCTCGCGTAGGTTTTTGCAAGTAGTCAAAACTAAAATAAAACTTTACGAGGTATAATAGTATGGAATATGGCAAAGCATTTCGAAACTAAAAGAAAACTTTACGAAGTAATAGTATGGAATATGGCAAAGCATTTCGAAAAATGTAATGTAAACCTTATAACAATTCCATAGCCACGAATCACGCGACGAAGTAAAATTAGCCTGTGACCTGCAACAAGCTAAGTAATAAAAATAATTCTCAATAAAATAGGATTTGTATAAATATACTTAGGAGGTACAAGAGTAATAACAGATACTTATTGAATTATTATTTAGTTGGTTTTTTTATTTTCCTACACAAAATTGATAGAAACTTTAGTAAAAGTTATTTACTTATTTTTATGAGTCCACATAATTAGAAAAGACAATGAAGATGACAAATTGACAAGTAGAAACTTCCGTATCAACACAAGAGATGCTGCCACATGCATATACAATTATCCATGATTTTTACCCATATTATAGCTTTTTTCTTTTCTTTTTGAATTTAAAATTTAATAGGTTTAATTAATATAAAAAATACTTTTAGATTTATTTTCATACTTTATCTTTTGGTATAATAATTCATAAATCTAGTGACTCACAAGTCACATCCAAATATCCAATCTAAAATTAACTTTTTTTAGTTAAATAAAAATCATATAAACATTCATATAGTGTTTTTTTATAACTGTTATATATTGTTAGAATATTTATTTTGAGGTTTCTATATGATTTATTTTTTTCCCTTTTCAGCTATTGTAATTATCAGTGTAGTATCGTTATGCATTAATTAGTATAACATTATGCTATTCCAATCTATCTATCTATCTATCTATCTATCTATCTATATATATATATATATACACACACACATATATATTTTTATTGTGATTTCATGTCATAAACCTTGTCCGTAAGAAAAAGTATAATGCAACCGGAAAAACTTCCGCCAAAAAAAAAAAAAAAAAAAACTTCCGCAAGACCTAGAGGAAGATATACTCTCTCTTATCCACCCAAAATCTATCGGTCGATTCAGATCCGTTTGCAAACGATGGAACACCCTTTTGAGGGACAACAAGTTCATCAAGAAACTCTTACAAAAGAAACTCTTAATGCTCACAAATTAAGAACCTTTTTCTTATAATACCAAATCAAGGAAAGACAAAATTAATATTAATGCTCTTGTTAAAGAAAAACTCGATCAATCGGACAAGTGTTATAATTTATTCATCCATGAATGGTTCTTATCTAATCATCCATGTAATATAATGTAGATGTACTTACGTTTAGAAGTAGGAGCATTACTACGATATATGATCCGTATAAACGTAACCCGGAAATAAAAACTTGTCAATTTCTTCAATATACCAAACAATTTCACTATATATCAGTAGTGTGATATTACAGATCTCTATTAATAATCAACGTTCCAATATTTATCATTTTATTAATCAATATGTCAATCTTATAATGTAGGTCACTACTCACTTATATGGTACAACATAACAAATTTTCATTGTAAAGAGGTCAAAGAAGTAATATATATGTCTATATATAATAGCTAGTGGGTAAGTAGTGTACTTTTGGCAATACTATCAAATACTTGGAAAAGGAACCATTAAGTATGACTGGGGAGGGGGAAACGCAGCTGGTGGGGCTATATGATATCTATCGGTGCGTCATTCGCAATGCCGAAGTAAATCAAAGTTATCGTGAAAGAAGTTACATGCCCGAGTAATTAATTAAACTAATTGATATATAGTAAATAAAACTTATCGCAATGTTTTTTGATATTGACGATGTCATTTTATTCTTATTGTCACGCGATGAAGTAAAATTAGCATGTGACCTGCAACAAGCTAAGTGATAAAAAAAAATTCTCAGTAAAATAGGAATTTGTATAAATATACTTAGGAGGTACAAGAGTAATAACTATTATGTATAATAGTTTGGCTTTGCAACTGGGACACCAGAGGAGCTTTCGCTCGTGATTTTGTGGTTGTGCAACTATTATATATGTGTCAACTGAGTCAGCACACAATTGCTAGTGGTTGACTAACATTCGTTAATAATTAGGATTTTGAATTAGGCACCAAATAGAAATATATGGTATGAAAATGTTTACAGAATGTCGTTTATAATAGATTGGAATTCTGAGACTTTCTTTATTTCAGAATGCAAGTAGTCAATGATAAAGTTGTGTGGTTATATATTGCGATAAATAATCTATGAATTAGATAAGTGGAAGAACAAGTCTAGTTTACTAATTCAGATTGCCACAAAACTTCGTTGTCCATGAAATTTTTATTCGTAGTAATGCGTTTTTTATGTTTACATCAAACTTAGAAATCTTCAAACCCTTTAATAATAATTTGTAGATAGATCATCATCCACACTCAAAGCCACATATTACATCAGATAATATATCTTTATAGACATTCTTTTTTTTTTTTTTCATTTTTGGTGCTGTTTTTTTTATTTATTTAAAATTTTCATATGTTTTGCTTATATTTTTCTTTTATTTTGCCTTTTTTTTTTGTCAACTTGCTTTTTCTTTTACTAAATTTGTATAAAAATCTTAAGTTTATTAGAAGTGATAAATTAATTGAAGAGAAATGTCTGATTTTAATTGAAGAGAAATGTCTGATTTTACTATTTTTGCTATTGTTGTGTCTCAGGCGCTTCCTCTTGTGAGTACATTTTGGGGAGTGGTATTGTTTGGAGAATACAGAAGATCGTCGCCAAAAACTTATCTGCTTCTCTTCAGTATGTTGTTTATGTTTATTTCAGCTGTTGCAGTTCTCATGGCTTCTTCTGGACCATAAAAAGTAAAATTCATATAGTTACAAAAATATGAGTACACTAGTTTGTCTATTTTCAGTATATGTATATAGTTTAGATAGTTGTTTGTCACCTTTATAATGAGATAGACAGTTTATGATTTGGGTGTTATTTTTATAAAATAGTATCATATTTTGTTCTAAAATAATTGGTTATCAAAAAAAATAAAAAAAATACAAGAATGGCCTGTAATAATCACCTTTGGAGATGTATGCTAAGAGAGGGTTATACTTTGTAACTAAATATTTAGTTACTAATTCTCTCTCTCTCTATATCTCCAATAACTTCTTACTTGACACCACTATATAAACTGTGTATTTGTCACTTAAAAGGGGGAGCAATGTACTTTTGGCAATACTATCAAATACTTGGAAAATGAACCATTAAGTATGACTGGAGAGGGGGAAACACACCTGGTGGGGCTATATGATATCTATCAGTGCGTCATTCGCAATGCCGAAGTAAATCAAAGTTATCGTGAAAGAAGTTACATGTCCAAGTAATTAAACTAATTGATATATAGTAAATAAAACTTATCGCAATTTTTTCTGATATTGACGATGTCATTTTATTCTTATTGTCACCCGATGTATCTCTGTTAACTTTCCATATAAATCAAAACCTACGTTTGTTTTTCGATTGAGTGCATGCATGGCAGAGAGTTTTACTTTCGGACGTATTTTTATTTATTTATTAGAGCATGTGCTGTGGAGAGAATCCATACATTCTCTTATTTTAATAACTTTGATATTTTTTATTTAAACTTTAAACTACAAATAAAATTAATTAACTAATTATAATTTTATTGAGACATGCGTCAAATAAGTATCGTTTCTATAATTCTCTCGAAATAGACTCACTTTATTTTCTTTCTTACTTTTCATTATTGTATTTGTCTGTGTAAAAACTCGAACAGAGACTCCCACTGCAAAACAGATACTCCCTGCACATGCTCTTATAGTCTTATATCGTTTTCCTAATCCAAATTACAAATTCCAGTTATTGGAACCGATGGACCTTTTGGTGATAGTGATCGCATGAGCCCCGCGGGTAATATTCGCATGCTTTTATTATTTCCTCACTCGTTATTAATCATTATGGCCTTTCCCTACTAATCAAAATATCATTTTTTTTAAAAAAAAAAGATACTTAAAATTAAAATGTCATATACCATTACTATATGGAAAATGAACATATATACTATGATTTTTCAAATTTCATATACCATCACCTTTGGAGATGTATGCTAAGAGAGGGTTATACTCTAGCTGTAACTAAATATTTAGTTATTCTTTCCTACAGGAAATTGATAGAAACTTTAGTCAAATTAATTTAATTAGTTCACACAATTAGATAATGACTATTAAGATGACACTATAGAAACTTCCGTATCAAACCACAAGAGAGGCTGCCACGTGCATATACAATTATCCATGATTTTTACCCATATTATAGCTTTTTCTTTTTGAATTTAAAATTTAATAGGTTTAATTAATATAAAAATTATTTATAGATTTATTTTCATACTTTTATCTTTTGGTATACTAATAAATTTTAATGATATAAATCTAGTTACTCACAAGTCACATCCAAATATCCAATCTAAAATTAACTTACGAGGTTACTGGATCATTGATATTGATCTTGATGGATTTGGAAATCTAAACAAAAATCATATGTTATTCAATCTTTAATTTAAAAATAACTATCAAAATCATGTGTTATTGGTTGTATGATTTATAAATACTAGTTAAAATCCTATGTTATTCGTTTGGTGATTTGTTTTTGGATTTTAAAATCCGTAGTATGTTTTAAATAGATTTTAAAGGATTTGATAGTGTAAAATAGAAGAATTCAAATCCAATGATAAGCATGTTATTTCAAAATCCATATATTTTAATTTCATAAATAATAAAGATTCATAAATTCTATGTGGATTTACAAATCAATAAACCAATAAACTCTTGTTTTATTTTGTATCTGGTTTTAGTCATGTATCTGGTTTTAATGCACATATAAATTTTAATGCTTATTATATTTAAAAATGTAATCTATTTCTGAGAAGGATGCTCTTCTTTTTTGGATGTATTTTTCCACCTATTGTAGTTATTATTACTTTCCTGGTTTCTTTGTGTAGTAATAATGTATGTGATAAATTTATGTAATTTATATCCATCTATGCTTGAATATAAATACAAAATATAGACAATGATATCCAATCTAAAATAAACTTATTTGGTTTTAGTTAATTAAAAATTATAAAAACATTCATTAAATGTTTCTTTATAGCTGTTATATTCTGTTGGAATATTTATTTTAAGGTCTCTATATGATTTATTTTTCCCCTTTTCAGCTATTGTAATTATTAGTGTAGTATCTTTATGCATTAATTAGTTAAAACATTATGCTATCCAATCTATCTATCTTTTTTTTTTTTGACATCAAAAAAAAAAAAAAAAAAAAGATAGGTGGG